TTTTTGTTTGAAACAGCAAGGGTAAGATGAACTGCAGGGTAAGATGGGCTGTTTTTTAATATGATAGTCCAGTTATGATACCACTTCTTTTTTCCTTTTCTTTGGCTTCCCCTCCCTCTTCTTCTGTTCTTTTTTTGGCATTGACTTTGGAAGTTTGGCATAATCTTTCATTTATATGAAGATGTGTTACCTTGCTGGACCAGTTCCTTAAATAATTAAATATAAATACTAAAATTTAACAGAAATAAAATAGTCCATCTTGCCTTCATTCCATTTTACCCAGGAGATTTAAAATCAAACATATTAAGCAATTAAAAAAAATGATCATTTTGGTATGATTGTATAGTGAATATGGTGAAACTGATTTTTTGAAAACAAGTTTCCAGCTACATCTTAGAGATCTTATGTAAAGTTCTTACAGTGAAGCTTGAAATTGTTTATTCAACATTATCAGAAATTTCATTCAATTCAGTTAAAATCTTACAGAAAAAAATCCATACATGCTCATTTATGATAAATATTTGCAATTGTAAATTCCATTGAATTTTATTTTTTCCTGTTTTTAGTAATTAGGCACGAGAGGAGTTTATGTGCTTCAAATTGTCTCATTAGACTCTAAATTAACATTAATAATTATGCAAATTACTATACAGTAGCTGTCTCTCCCTTCTATTCTTTAGTGCCATGAACAGGCAACTCCAGCAATGCATTATAATCTTTATTCAGTTTATGCTTAGCAATCTAATATTTTCATTGCTGCTCTATCAAATTAAGTGTGTGGCATAGCCACCTGTGTTCATCTGTAACTGTGGGGCTACCAGAGATGGGAGATGGTTTTATTTCTAATATTAGCAGTTAATGAGCAACCCTTTACAGCAATGTTAATGGCAAAAGCCCAAAGCATGTTTATAAAAGATTTCAGAATTCATATTTCAGATAGTAAATACTTCTGTTCTATACCTGCTCCTCTCATCAGTAGCTTTTAATTACTTAAGTGACTTTTTACAAAGTACTTAATATTTATGTAGTGTCTTGATGATGAAGAACTATACAAATGGTTCAATATTAACTTAAAGGCTCAATCCAGACAGCATTTTTCATAGAATCATAGAATCATGGAATTACAGAATCATAGAATAGTTAGGGTTGAAAAGGACCTTAAGATTATCTAGTTCCAACCCCACTGCCATGGTCAGGGCCACCTTGTACTAAATCATGTCACCAAAGACTCTATCCAGCCTGGCCTTGAACACTGCCAGGGATGGAACATTTGCAATTTTTCTGGAAAGCCAGTTCAAGTAACAGATTTTTTCATGTTGTTATGTATATATTTATAAATTTTAAGAGGCATTGAACATTGAATCTCCCATTTCTATGTTTTCCCCACAGCTCCAAAAAGGTCTGTCTTTATAAGTGCAATCAATCCTTATTGTTCATTTCAGTTGTGTGTGTTTATACAAGCAGTACATGTAAGCCTGTAGCCTAAAGATTTTTTTGCACAGTGATTCCATCTCCCTGCTGTGGCAAAAAGTGCTGAACACTTATTATTGTCTGTGCATCGGTTTCACCTTTCTCCCCTGGTTTTCATTAGGTTCTGAGCTCATGCCCAAAGCCCTCTCCACCAGGATAGTGGGAGGCATTTGGTGGTTTTTCACACTTATCATCATTTCTTCGTATACTGCTAACCTAGCCGCCTTTCTGACAGTGGAACGTATGGAATCCCCTATTGATTCTGCTGATGATTTGGCCAAGCAAACAAAGATAGAGTATGGGACAGTTGAAGATGGAGCAACCATGACTTTTTTCAAGGTAAGTTTTATATTATTTTTTGAAAAGATGCTGTGTCCAATTGCAGAGGGAGGACTCGTACACATTATTAAGAAGCAACAGATACGGGTCTTGCTGACATCAAAAGCATCTGAAAATCACTTTTTGAGGACTTTTCTTTAAGCAAATGGACTACATTAAGAATTTTAGTTACTGGGCTGAGAAAAAAGTTTAGGACTTCATATTTTTGAGAATCTTTTGAATGAAATTTGGGGCTCACACAAAAAAGCTCAGATTCTGAGAGCTTGTCTAGTCCTTTTAATCTGATACTAAAATAAATCCATTTTAAATATACTGAAATATGATGCTGAATTACAGAGAAATCTTCTTTTCTAACTTCATCAATCGTTTAAGTGTCCATAAATTAGAGGTATGCATGAAAGGAGAGAGAACAGTTTGCTCTCATACTCATGTCTGATAACACAGAGGTGTCTCAAATCTTCCAAATAAAGAGGTGTTTACCAATATTTGTCTGATCTTTGCTACATTTTGAAGACTTCTAGCTAGTGTATTCTGGTTTTGGTTTTTTTTTTGAGTTATTATGCAGTCACCTAAAGCTTTGCTGTGTCCATTACACTGGTATTTGAAATTAGACAAATGGAGGTCCAAGGTAACTTGTAAACTGGTGCATAAACTGAAGAATGTTTTATGTGCTATCAATTCCTCTCATCAGATTCATACAGTACAAAATCTGTTTAGCTATCAAGGCTAAATAGTCACTATTTAATCTTACTACCTTAGAGCAAATCAAAATGTATACAAAGCTTTTCATTTTTTATAAAAGTTATAGGGGTTCAGCTTCTGCTTGGAAATAAAAATCATAGAATCATAGAATCAGAATAGTTAGGGTTGGAAAGGACCTTAAGATCATCTAGTTCCAACCCCACTGCCATAGGCAGGGACACCTCACAATAAACCTTGTAATCCAAGTCAGTTCAAGTTCTGCGTATTGGAACGCTTTAGGTTGCTTAACTTATAGCATACTGCTGCAAACTTATAGCATTGGGAAGGTTCTGAGTATTTTCTCCAGAATGCATGTTCGAAAAGGATTAACTTAATATAAGTAACTAATCTGTTAGAAGTCTCTTGCTGCCAGGAAATATGTGCGGCAGTTAAAGGAAACAACACTGAAATTTTGAAGACAGAGGTTTTTAAAAGAGTTTAAATTATTTAATTATATCTTGTTTTAAGGCCACAAGGAGATGACACAAAGTATTTATTGAGTTACCAGAAAACAGTGCAAGACTTCAATTTCATTTTTGTTTGTTAAAAAACTTTGAACTTGTTCTAATTCATAGAATCATAGAATAGTTAGGGTTGGAAAGGACCTTAAGATCATCAAGTTCCAACCCCCTTGCCATGGGCAGGGACACCTCACCCTAAACCACATCACCTAAGGCCTCGTCCACCCTGGCCTTGAACACCACCAGGGGTGAAGTACTCACAACTTCCCTGGGCAACCCATTCCAGTGCCTCACCACCCTCACAGTAAAGAATTTCTTCCTTATATCCAATCTGAACTTCCCCTGTTTAAGTTTGAACCCATTAACCCTTGTCCTATCACTACAGTCCCTAATGAAGAGTCCATCCCCAGCACCCCTATAACACCCTTCAGATACTGGAAGGCTGCTATGAGGTCTCCACACAGCCTTCTCTTCTCCAGGTTGAACAGCCCTAACTTTCTCAGAATATCTTCATACGGGAGGTGGTTTTAGCAGGGCAAACTTTGGCCTCTTCAAGCAATTGCTAGGGGAAATCCCATAGGCTAGGCTGCTTGAAGGTAAAGGGGCCCAAGATAGTTGGTTGACGTTCAAGGACTGCTTTTTCCGAGCTCAAGATCAGAGCATCCCGACACATAGGAAGTCAAGGAAGAGGGCCAGGAGACCTGCGTGGCTAAATAGGGAATTGCTGGGTATGCTGAAGTGGAAGAGTTTACAGGTCATGGAAGGAAGGGCTGGCCACTTGGGAAGAATATAAGGCTGCTGCTAGAGGATGTAGGAAAGCTGCTAGGATGACTAAGGCCTCCTTGGAATTAAAGCTGGCGAGAGGGGTCAAGGACAGCAGAAAGAGCTTTTTCAAATACATGGCAGATAAAACTAACACCAGAGGCAATGTAGGCCCGCTGATGAACGGGACGGGTGCCCTGGTGACAGAAGATACAGAGATGGCAGAGTTACTTAATGCCTTCTTTGTCTCTGTCTACTCTGCCGGAGGCAGTCCTGAAGAGCCCTGTACCTCTGAGACCTCAGATGAAGACAGGTCAACGGAGCGGTTTGCCTTAGTCGATGAGGAATGGGTTAAAGACCAGTTGAGCGATCTGGACATCCATAAATCCATGGGTCCAGATGGGATGCACCCGTGGGCGCTGAGGGAACTGGCGGAGGTCATTGCTAGACCGCTCTCCCTCATCTTTACCAAGTCTTGGGAAATGGGAGAGGTGCCTGAGGACTGGAGGAAAGCAAATGTCACTCCTGTCTTCAAAAAGGGCAAGAAGGAGGACCCGGGTAACTATAGACCAGTCAGCCTCACCTCCATTCCTGGGAAAGTGATGGAACACCTTATCCTTGGTGCCATCTTAAGGCATATCAAGGATAAGAGGGTTATGAGGGGCAGTCAACATGGCTTCACCAAGGGGAAGTCATGCTTGACCAATCTCGTAGCCTTTTATGAGGAAATAACACGGTGGATGGATGATGGCAGAGCGGTGGATGTGGTCTACCTTGACTTCAGCAAAGCGTTTGACACAGTCTCCCACAGCATCCTCGCAGCTAAATTGAGGAAGTGTGGTCTGGATGATTGGGTAGTGAGGTGGACTGTGAACTGGCTGAAGGAGAGAAGCCAGAGAGTTGTAGTCTATGGGGCGGAGTCTAGTTGGAGGCCTGTATCTAGTGGAGTGCCTCAAGGGTCAGTACTGGGACCAGTATTATTTAATATATTCATCAATGATTTAGATGAGGGAATTGAGTGTACTATCAGCAAGTTTGCTGATGACACTAAGCTGGGAGGAGTGGCTGACACGCCAGAAGGCTGTGCAGGCATTCAGCGAGACCTGGACAGGCTGGAGAGTTGGGCGGGGAATAACTTGAAATATAACAAGGGAAAGTGTAGAGTCCTGCAACTGGGCAGGAACAACCCCAGGTTCCAGTATAGATTGGGGAAAGACCTGTTAGAGAGCAGTGTAGGGGAGAGGGACGTGGGGGTCCTGGTGGACGACAGGGTGACCATGAGCCGACACTGTGCCCTTGTGGCCAAGAAGGCCAATGGCATCCTGGGGTGTATTAGAAGGGGGGTGGTTAGTAGGTCGAGAGAGGTCCTCCTTCCCCTCTACTCAGCCCTGGTGAGACCTCATCTGGAATATTGTGTCCAGTTCTGGGGCCCTCAGTTTAAAAAGGACAGGGACCTGCTGGAGAGAGTCCAGCGCAGGGCAACTAAGATGATTAAGGGAGTGGAGCATCTCCCTTATGAGGAAAGACTGAGGGAGCTGGGTCTCTATAGTTTGGAGAAGAGGAGATTGAGGGGTTACCTTATTAGTGCATATAAATATCTAAAGGGGGAGTGTCACGAGGATGGAGCCAGGCTCTTCTCAGTGTCAAACAATGATAGGACAAGGGGTAATGGGTGCAAACTGGAACACAAGAGGTTCCACTTAAACTTGAGAAGAAACTTCTTCTCAGTGAGGGTGACAGAACACTGGAACAGACTGCCCAGGGAGGTTGTGGAGTCTCCTTCTCTGGAGACATTCAAAACCCGCCTGGACACTTTCCTGTGTAACCTTATCTAGGTGTTCCTGCTCCGGCAGGGGGATTGGACTAGATGATCTTTTGAGGTCCCTTCCAATCTCTAACATACTGTGATACTGTGGTCCAGTCCCATGATCATCCCCATGGCCCTCCTCTTGACTTGTTCTAATGAGTTCCATGTCCTTTTTATGTTGAGGACACCAGAACTGCACACAATACTCCAAGTGAGGTCTCACAAGAGCAGAGTAGGGGGGAAGGACCACCTCCTTTGACCTCCTGGTCAAGCTCACTTTGATGTAGCCCAGGATACGGTTGGCTTTCTGGGCTGCAAGCACACATCACTGGCTCATGTTCATTTTCTCATCAACCAACACCCCCAACTCCTTCTCTGCAGGACTGTACTGAATCTCTTCTCTGCCCAGCCTGTAGCTGTGCCTGGGGTAACTTCGACCCAAGTGTAAGAACTTGCACTTGGTATTGTTAAAATTTATGAGGTCAGTACCAGCCCACCTTACAAACATGGCAATGCTGGCATCTGCTCCCTCCAGCATATCAACCAAACCACACAGCTTGGTGTCATCGGCAAACTTGCTGAGGGTGCACTCAATCCCACTGTCCACGTCACTGACAAAGATGTTGAACAAGACCGGTCCCAAAACCGATCCCTGAGGGACACCACTCATTACTGGTCTCCAGCTGGATATTGAGCCATTGACCACAATTCTTTGTGTGCGGCCATCCAGCTAGTTCTTTATCAACCAAGTGGTCCATCTGTCAAATTGATGTCTATCCAATTTAGAGACAAGGATGTCATGTAGGACAGTGTCAAACACTGCACAAGTCCAGTTAGATGACATCAACTGCTCTACCACTATCCATCAGTTCCGTAGCCCCATCATAGAAAGCCACCAAATTGGTCAGGCAGGATTTCCCTTAGTGAAGCCATGCTGGCTGTCACCAACCACCTTGGTGTTTTTCATGTTCCTTAATATGTCTTCTAGGAGAATCTGCTCCAAGATTTTGGCAGGCACAGAGGTGAGACTGACTGGTCTGTAATTCCCTGGGTCATCCATTTTCCACTTTTTGAAAATGGGAGTTATATTCCCTTTTTCCAGTTTTTGGGAACTTCACCTGACTGCAAAGATTTTTGAAATATGACAGACAGTGGCTTAGCAACTTCATTTGCCAGCTCTTTCAGGACTCATGGAGGGATTTCATGAGGTCTCATGGACTTGTGTACGT